CAGCAGAGTGAATGTGACGGTCGGTGCGCCGCAGCCCCTGCGCGCTCGGTGACAGTGACTCTGAACCACGTCGCTCTTCTTTTGAATTGATCCAGCTTGAGCACATCCTGTCCGAACCGGGTTGCGATTCTGCCATACGGACCTGTGTGGGTCATCCGTGGGGCACTCGGCACTGGGCACGCTCGCCGTCACACTAGGGTGGCGGAGGCCGTTTCTGCCCTTAGCTCAGCCCCATGTGGAGAAGACGAGTCAACAAGAAATGAGGTGGAGGAGAGAGGCCTTGTAGCCGAACCGGGTAGAAACCAGGAGAGACGTTCGCTCAGTCCAGGGGGGAGGGGCGTAGAGAAAATGCTTCCCGAGGTACCAGTGCGTGGGTGCTTCTTCCTCCTCTCCTGTGCTCTGGAGAATAAACTCTGTCCTATTGTTTAGATCTGTCTCACTCAGACCATAACTAAATTACATCATGGTAAAGTTAGAGAAGAATGATTTCAATATTGATCTATAAAAAGCAATTTTGGGGTAATTTTTAAAATTTCAATACTCAAATCATTTAAGGAGCGTTATAAGGGATAACATTATCTATATAGTAATGTTGTTGTTTTTTTAATCCTCACCTGAGGATATTTTTTCATTGCTTTTCAGATAGAATGGGAAGGAGGGAGGGAGAGAGAGAAGCATCAATGTGAGAGAGACACATCGATTGGTTGCCTCCCACATGACCCCGACCAGGGCCGGGGATAGAACTGCAAACCAAGGTATGTGCCTTGGCTGGAATCAAACCCGACTCTTTGGTCTGCCAGCCAACACTCTAACTGCTGAGCCCAACTGGCAAGAGCAGTAATTTTTTTTGTTAATTTTTTTAAAAAAATGTTTTTCTCTATTGATTTCAGAGAGAGAGGAAGGGAGAGGGAGAGAGATAGAAACATCGATGAGGCAGAACATCAATGGGCCGCCTCCTGCATGCCCCCCACTGAGGATCAGGCTCACAACCTGGGCATGTGCCTTGACCAGGAATCGAACCGGCGGCCTCTTTTGAATTGATCCAGCTTGAGCACATCCTGTCCGAACTGGGTTGCGATTCTCAACCACTGAGCCGCATCAGCCAGGCACGAGCAGTAATGTTTTCATGTAAATTCTAAGTGATCATCTCCAGCCATATATTGGTTGCCCAAATATACCCAAAGACTTTGATGTCAAAAAATACAGTGTGGCCACTGTTGGCCAGAAGGGACGACCTTCCCCTTGTCCTCTCACAGAGGACGTGTGTGCTGTCTGAGGGGCCCCGTCCCCGCCTCCAGGCCTCCCCCGAAATCTGACTCACGAAGTCCCCTGCTTCCTGGGTGGACGTTTCCAAACAAGGGCCTCAGCCATCTCACACTCGACGCGGCCAAGTCCACCCGTCGTCTGTGCCTCCTTCATGAGTTACCGTCTCAGTTGACAACGAAGGTTCCTAGTTCTGTCTCCTCTCCTGAATTTCCCATCCTGAAGTCCCCTGTCCCAGAACGCCCCTGTGTTTGGACTCTCCCCTCGGCCTCTTAACCACCTTCCTGTTGCCTGTTTGTCTCTTCCCCCTCAAAGTCTTACCTGCATTGTTGCCAGAGTGGCCTTTAGCGCCATAGTTTCACCTGCTCATGCCCCTGCCATGTCCAGTGGCTCCCTATTGCGTGGGTTAAAGTCAGTGACACTTGGCGGCCTATAGGATTGGTCCCCAGCCTGCCTATCCGAGCAACATGTCTCCCTACCTCAAACTCTACACCCCAGCAACTTGGGGCTCCGCATAGTTTCACGGCATCTACGCCCATCCCCCTTTAACATATCATACCCATACATTCTATGCCTTTGAGGGGGGAGTCCCCTCTACTTAGAATGTTCTCGTCCTCATTCTTTCTTTCGCCTCACTAACCCAATCAACCTGCCTCCTTCTTCCCCATCCTGCGCGACGGGCACCGCTTCCCCAGGCTGGCTTCTGGGTTCGAAGCCTCCTTGAATTCCCAGGGCTTTGGGTGCATCTCCATCACGGAGATCTGGTCACTCTGTGGTTCTGTCCTTCGCAGATGTTGCGGTCTCGCGGCGTTTTATCCCCACTACCCAGCAGACTAAATACTGGTTAAATGAGAACGTATGAAGGTGTCCCTTGTAACAGCAAAACAAATGAAAAACAGCAAAACGAACTCCCAGCACTTTATGTTCCGATACCGAGAGGAACAGAAGTCCGTGTTAGATCGGCTGATGTAATAAACAGAGAGAAAGCACGTTCTCGGGAAATTGCACGTTCACCTTCTGCTCCCATTTGCTGACATAAAGAACCCATCTCCCTGAGTTTTCTCCTTGGGAACTCTAAAGGCCGCAGGTCCCTTGCTGTCACATTTCCCCAATGACCACTGTCCACCTGCCTCTCTCATTTTATCAAGGGACCTTTGACTTCCAGTCTATTTCAAATTAGGCACACATCTGAGAAAGCCTTGAGCGAGCACCTTCACAGTTTCATCCACGGCTCCTTAGCGAGTCACAAGGATATGAAACCTGTTATTTATGACAGCAGAGGGTAGCCCAAGACAAAAAGAGAATGTGCCTGCAGTGTTCTCAAATTCAGTCATTCATCCATCCATCCATCCATCCTCCATCTATTCATCTATCCTTTCATCCATCCATCCATCCATCCATCCTTCACCCTCCATCCTTCCATCCATCCATCCTCCATCTATTCATCTATCCATCCATCCATCCATCCTCCGTCCATCATCTGTTCATCTATCCTTTCATCCATCCATCCATCCTCCATCCATCCATCCATCATCCATCCATCCATCCATCCATCCATCCATCTATCCTCCATCCTCCATCCACTATCTATTCATCCATCCATCCATCCATCCATCCTCCATCCATCCATCCATCCTCCATCCACCATCTATCCTTTCATCCATCTATCCTTCCATTCATCTCTCCATCCATCCATCCATCCATCCATCCATCCATCCTTCCTTCCCTCCATCCATCCATTCATCCATCCATCCATCCTCCATCCACCATCTATTTATCTGTCCTTTCATTCATCCATCCTCCATCCATCCATCCATCCATCCATCCTTCATCCATCCATCCATCCATTCTTCCACCCATCATTCCTTATCCATTCGTCCATCCATCTATCCATTTATCCCCTTATCCATCCATCATCCATCCACCCAGCAGGGAGGTTCTCGTCCTCCAGTAGGACCTGTGTCCTGAGCAACCCTGTGAAGAAAGACCTGTTCCCCAGAAGCCCTGGCTTAAGGAATACAGGAGGGAAGGTTTGTGAGGAGTTAACTTGGGTCCCGTGTTCACCTCTGGACTGGGAGTGAGCAACCCCAGCAGAACTAAGTGGTGTGAAGCCTATTCTCTGAACACGGCCAGGCGGACGGTGTCAGCACTGCGCACACACCTCCTGCAGAGTCAGGAGTTACAGCAACTCACAACTCCTTGCCCAGACACATGTAATCCGGGCTCTGTGGGGCCTTTTCTGTCTCGCACCAGTCTGGCTCCTCAGATTCCAGACCCTCAGGGGTCCTGGCCTTGCCATCCTCTGCTTGGAATTCCCTTTTCCTCCACCCATCCCGTGCTCGGTGGACCCCTCTCCATCTGCTAGCTCCCTCTGTAAAGCCTTCGCCTTCCACGACACTCCGCCTACTGTGTGTCTGTTCACCCAGTCAGACTCTGTTCCTGCTGCGTGACGCCCCAGCAGGCTGCGGTGTCCTTATTGATCTTTGTATCGCGGCAGCTGATACAGCTCCTAGCACGTGGTAGGTGCACAGGAAACACTTGGTGCAGTTATGTTGAAAAGGACCCAAAAATAGTGTAATTCACAAAAGAAGTTGCAAAATCGCTTAAAACCAGAATAAACCCGTGCTTTGCTATTAGCAATGAAGATGTGATTGATTGTGTGTACTGGTAGTTAAGATAAATAGGGTTCTTCTCCTCTTCCAATTTATCTTAGAAATTCAATATTTCAGTGTGTCCAAAATCATTTTCCTCACCCACAGCACTGCTTATAACATTGCCATGTTGTCCTGAACTCTTCTTGGACATTTTAATAATGACGGCTGGTTGCTTACCTTAGAGAACCAGCAGGGACAAGATTGCAGATCCAAACTTATTGTCCCAACAGGTGGTTTAGCCACTGATTCTAGATAGCAGAGCCCAGGGACTTCCAGGCGGGGGATTTGTCCAGCTCAGAAATCTGCATGTACTATTCATTGAAGACTGCGTGTATATGCATGTTCCCATGTGCATATTCATGTGCATGCCTGTGTGTGCATGAGCCAGGGCACATCTGTGTGTGCATGCACACATGTGTGTCTGTGTGTGCATGAACCAGGGCACACCTGTGTGTGCATATACACGCGTGTGTCTGTGTGTGCATATGCCATGGTGGGCCTTTGTGTACATGAGCCAGGGCATGCCTGTGTGTACATGTACACATGTGTGTCTGTGTGTGCATATGCCATGGCATGCCTGTGTGTGCATGAGCCAGGGCACGTCTGTGTGTGCATGTACACGTGTGTGTCTGTGGGTGCATATGCCATGGCACATCTGTGTGTGCATGAGCCAGGGCACGTCTGTGTGTGCATGTACACGTGTGCATTTGTGTGTGCATATGCCATGGCATGCCTGTGTGTGCATGAGCCAGGGCACGTCTCTGTGTGCATGTACACGTGCATGCCTGAGTGCACATGGGTCAGGGCACGCCGGTGCCTGAGTGTGTGGTGGAGGAATGAGGCGGGACGAGGGAGGGAGGGCTCCATGTGTACTGTGGGGGTGGTCCCCTGCATACACGTCTGACTCCTCGTGGATGATCTGCACATGTGGAGGGCCTTGGGAGCCCTAGTAAAATTGGATCCTCTGTAAAGGAAGCAGGGGGTGGGAGGGTCAGCCCCTGGCTGCCCCGCGGCCTAGACATTCTCAAGCAACTTATCAGTGTGATTCTATGCTCAGTGTTTCACGGTTTTTCTCCCCCACAGAGGTCTCATTGCTAGCGGTTTCACGGAAACCCATTATCTGCAGGACGGCACCAGTGTGTCCCTCACTCGAAATTACACGGTAAGTCCTGCGTGTTGGGCCCACCATGATCCTGTGCCATTAAATCTGAGCTTAGCCTCTGGAGCTGTCTTCTCCTGAGCAAACCCACATGCCCAGCCCCGTCACTAAGGCCCCAGGAAGTGCTGGGCATCACCGGTGTCCAGGCATCCCATCGTTCCTCCAGGGAAACCGGCCTTGCCAGGGATGTGCTGAGACCGTCCTTGAAGATGGGGCTTCATTGTAGCCTGACCTTGAAGTCACCTTCCAAGGACTGTGGGGTCCTCATTTGGGCATATCCCTTTTAGGAGCCCTAGCCAAGGTTAGAGACGGCTCAGACAGCAGTCATCCCTGGCTGAACTTGACTGTGTTAAACTTGGAAGAACCTTAAAGAACTCAAAGGAACACTAACTCTGATTAATCTCTTACAAATGTATCCAGCAGATCGATATGATTATCATGGTTGTTACAGTAACCGGACATTTATATCACCTCTTAGCTTCTCTGTCATGTGAAGTTTTATATGTAACTTGCATAAGATGTTCATTTTCTTTGTTCCTTTTTAAAAAATGCTTACTGGGCACCCCACGGGGCCTCGCGTGTGACTCTGGGGGTTCAGGTAGAGGGTGTTGCCCTCTGAGGGCTAGGAGAGTTACTCGTCTTAAGGAGCTCTGGGTGTTTGTTCTGGAAGAATCAGCTCAGAGGGAGCCCTTGCGTGACAGTGGGGTGACATAGCCATCGCTGTCTGCAGCGAACCCCCTTCAACACTGTCTGCCCATGTTTCTTTATCACCTGTGTGGATGGGACACTTACAGACTGCCACCTCCGGCTCCCAGCGACATGAGGACCGAGCCTAAGAACGCAGAGCAGCCCTGGGTGAGACAGAGCTCAGTTCTGGTCATTGCTGGCCACGCCTGAGAGTCAGGAGGCAGAAACACAGGGGCGCGTGGACTCGAGCAGCAGGTTGGTGAGTTGGGGTCACGGGACCCCAAAGGGCTACACAGGGCCCAGAGAGAAGCTGGTGCTCCGGGTCTGGGACGAGAGAAGTGGGTGTCTATGACTGAGGATCCCACAGAAGGTGGCCCCCGGAGGTTTCCATCCTCGGTGGAAAGGGGGTCAGAAAAACTCCGTCTAGAGAAGGGGGAGAAGGGGCAGGCCAGAAGGTTGTCGCCAGGTTCCCTGGGCTGAAAAAAAATCTCGTAGCAAATAGAGAAACCGAAACCCCAGCTCGCTTCACACGCGTGTTTGGCGTGGAGCGGGCCGGCGCTCAGGCTTCTGACACCTGCGTGGGAATGCAGTTCCTGTCGATGGACTGACCCCAACGCTGCTCTCCAATCAGCAGCCCTGGGCCCCACGGGCGCAAGCTGAAGCCAAAATCGTTCGGTAGGGGTGCTTCTATCACTTTACATAAGGTACCCATTCGAGGACGAAGAAGAAGAGGAAGGAAAAACAGAAGGACAAGAAGAAAAATGTTAATGATGAGCCCAAAATCGAAATTATAACCCACACAATGAAAAAAGCCACCGTACGCAGCCGTTGGTGCATGAGACAAGACAGTACCACGAGGAATGGAAAAGTCAGAGCAAACAATCGGTGTTTTAAAGAGAACAGAATAGGCCGAATAGAAATTCCAGAGTGAAAATACAGGGGAATGGGAAGAAGAATGTTCGAACACAGTGTGATGAGGACGTTCCTGAACGAGGAATGACCAGCGTCCCAAGCAGGCAGACTGGCGACCAGCCACCTCGGGACGGCTCAGCATGAACCTGCGGAGCCGGGGGAATCTTAAAGCCACGTGAGAGAAAAGGCCTGGTCTGTACAAAACGACAACTGCACTGTCAGCAGATGTCACCACTAACGATGGAGTTAAGGCTTCAGAGGGCTGAGGCCAACCTCACTTCTATACTCAGTTAACTTGCTTCTCAAAAATGAGCGGGAATTGCATTTTCAGGCAAAAACAAGAGAATCGCCTACTCTGAGTCTAACACACATCTACGGAGAAAAACTCCCCAAAACTCTCTCAGTCGGAGGGACGTTGAACGCAAGACAGGAGAGTGGGGTGTGGGAGGCGATAATAATTAAAATATTTAGATGGGAAAACATCTGAATAAGCTGTTTAAAACACTGTTTACAACAATGATGACTCAATTTGGATGCTTTACAACAAGATGAGCAAGTCGATTTAAAACAGTTTAAGAATTTGTTTTCCACTAGAAAAGCAAAGAGATGCTGATTAACTTTAGATTTTAATAAATATGCATCTTACGAATTTAAGAATATCCAAAAGAGAATAGAAAAATAAAACATAGAAGTCCAAATAATGGAAGGGTGAATAAAAACAGCCTATCAAATCGAATGCATGTCAAGCAAGAGGAAAAGAATCCAAAAAGAAGCAGAATAAATATAAAACAAACATAGTAAGATAAAAATGACTCATCACATCGGTTTCATTATACGTAAATGGGTTAAATCTGTCTGTTAAAGGAAAAACAAAGTATCTGTTTAGAACTTAAAATAAAATCTGGCTACTTCATTTCTGCAAGATTCACACTCGAAATGCAAAACAGTTCCATCCCCAGTCGGGGGGCATGCGGAAGGCAGCCAGTGGATGATCTGTCTCACGTTGATGTTCTCTCTTCCTCCCTCCCTCTCTCCCCCCTCTTTCCTTTCCCTCTCGCTCAAATCAATAAACATATCCTGGGGTGAGCCTTTTAGGAAAGGGATCTCCGATGACAGATGGTGCAAGGATCGGCGGGATACTGGTCAGTAGAAGGCAAAAACGTTTGTCCGGGGCCCCTCGTAGTTGGTGAATGTCAGGCCCACAGAGGTGGACTTTGCAGGGATGAAACCGGCCAGATTCAAGAGGCAGAAGAGACCAGGTGTGGTGACGTTGACGAGGGGACTGTCACCGGCGGCATTTGCCCTTCAGCTCCGGCTGTCAGCGGGGCCGTTTCTTGCTGGCTCGGTCGAGGAGCAGCCCCTGGCTGGGGAAGGCAGAGCTGACCGTCAGTACAGGGCTGTCCCTGCCGGGTTGGAGTGGGACATGTAGTCAGGGTGTTCAGGGGGCAGCCGGAGGGGCGACTCTGGAGGGGAGGCCACGTTCTGAGGACCGAGCTCAGACACAAGCCATAGCTGAGGCCATGACTTCACACGTGACTGTTGTTGGTTTTTTCTTTCTTCCTCCTAAGATGACCCCATTTAAAACAGGCTTTTAGAGTTGGCACAGCTCTGTCCTCACCGTGTAAACTGTTGTTCCAAAGAGAAACAGAAAACAGAGGTCCTAGAAGTACTGTGACGATAGGCCGAGTCCTCCAAATGTCCGGTCCGTGCGGAGGGGGTGGCCTAAGACAGACATCCGGGGTGTGTGAGGTGCACTGCAAGGTACTTGCATGGTCACGTTTTCAGTCTCCCTTACACATGGTCCCTTTCTTGGCATTTCGGGTCCTTTTTCTCACTCGGGGCGGAACAGGACTAGATGAACAACGGCCGCCGCTCACAGGTCGCGTTCGGACTTGGGCTGTGAGGGCTGAGCCAGCCCGGACGAGGGCCCCAGCCCTAAGCGCGGCTGTCCAGTGGTGGGGACTGTTCTCTGTTTTCCGTGGCTGCTGGGTGCAGGGGAAGGCGATCACCTTTCCTTCCTCCTCATTTCTCCACGGGGTGACCGTGTAGGACAGATGGCCTCTCTTTCCTCTACTTGTTCTCTGCGTCCCCCCATGGAGGGGGCTTTTCCCGGAGAGGGTGGAGGAGGAGCCCCTGACAACCCTGGTCCCTCCCTCTAGTAGGGGAGGAGGAGAGGCCAGGAGGCCCACCCTCCTGTCCTCCCTCGCCAGTGGTGGGTGAGACTTGCCCAGCCCCCCACGGAGGTGCTAAGTGACAGCCATCTGCAGCCCCCCTCCCCACCCCAGGATGAATCCCAAGGCTTAGCTAGCAATGGGGTGGGTGGAAGGAAGTTGGAGATTTCAGGAAGCAACACTTCTGCCCAGGTCTAAGTTGCCTCCTCCAACAGAATATACCAGAAGCCCCTTTGCTGGAGGTAATGAAGCTGATACTGAATTTTGACCTTCACCTGCCTTTGACTATCTTCACTGGGTGGAGCGGGCACCCCAACCTCTGGGACGCTAAGCACATATTGCTTCTCGGTTAGAAAACGCTGACTTTCCTTGTAATTCAGCTGCCACCTTCTCCCGTGTCTCGGTGTCCTTCCGAGAGGTCAGCCGCGTTAGGTAAGGGGGAGGAGGGAGCAATCTGCTCCCTAAAGGAAACCCCAGCCCCCCGCAGCCGGGCCCCCCAGCTGACTGCCCCGCTGGGGAGTCCAGGGCCGCCCACTGTCTTTCATGGCGAGGACACGAGCGCGGCTTGGGGGTTTGTTTTTATTGAATCAGGCTGGAAAACAGGGAGAAATGTGCTGACTCATCACCTTGTTCCCTCAAGTCAGCACACAATGGATTTTCCTAAATGTACATGATAGATAAAATAGAAACCCCTTTTTGGCTATAGTTTTGTTTTGTTTTTTTTTAATCTCTCCATGATCAGTGTGAGGTGGTTGACAAGCAGCAGAGTGGTGGCTGATTTTAATTTGGGGATTGGTCACGTGTCTTGTCTTTCTCTATGTCCCAACAGGATGGAATATTTGTGGCTTATCCTCTGCTGGCCACACCTAAGGGAAGATGATGTTTTATATTGTCACTTGGAATAAGGCCTGTGGGAGACAGGACACATCATTTATGCTGTTTACATCCCCAAAGATAATCCTGGCCAAGGCCAGAGTCATCCTCCAGAAAGTCTTCTGAATGCGTCCGCCCCTTGTACATGTTAACGGAGCACCTTCCGGGAGCCGGGCACTGTGACGCCTGAAAACACAGTGGGGTTACAGCCAGGGGGCCCCCCGGGGCTGGAGGGAGGAGACTGACATTTTCCCCAGAATCACACACTTAATTAAAATCTATGCTACGTGCACTGAAGAAAAGGCCAGGGGACCTAATCTGGTCTAAGGGACCATGGAAGGCTTCATGGGGGAGGGGACT